AGCTTGGATATCATTTGGATAATGGCTGTGAGAGCTTTCTCTTCAAAGTCTCAGCACAACTTCATACTTCAGTTCCAAAGCCTCGTGTTCTCGCTGTATTGCGACCAGTCCTCAGTGATTCCTGTGCCTGCTGGAGTATTATTATTGAATCCTATTTGTGCATATTCTTTTGGTGTGGTTGGTTTGTTTGTTTTGTTGTTTGGGGTTTTTTAATGTTTATTTTTGCTTCTTTTTTAATTCCTTTTTTCTTAAAGCAATCTCATTTCATTACCTTGGGATCTTTGACAGAAAAATTTCTCTTCATATATCGAATCATAATTAGATTTACTCATTTCTTAATACTTTTTTCTCCCACTCCAGCACAAAGCAACAAAATAACTTAGGACTGCACGGACAGTGATTTTTGTAATTAATAGCAAACCTTCTGCTGATTTAATTTTGCTGTTAAAATATAAAACCTGCCACATCTCATCTGCTGGGCAAGTACTAACAAGGTATTTGTTGAATTACTGTTCGGTTGATGGTAGCTCCTAACTATTAGTTGAAGACACTTTTTCTCTTGGTTTTTCCACTTTCCACACGGGGTTGTAAAGCATGTGCAAATCCAAGAGACAAATGGGTGAAGGCCCTTCTTAGCCTGCGGTATGCATGTTTTCAAGTATATCTGAAAACCAAGCATTACTGGGTGTGCTTAGTGACAATGACTTTTAGCTCTTTCATAGGGGTGTTGATAATTGGTCAGTTATTTTCAATTACCAATACCAACAAGCCCACATGTAACCGAACTTCAGTCCTGATGAACTGGAATGCATCGTTCAGCTGTAATTTTCTTGAGAAGTGAATCAGGGAATTCATGAATCAAGAAGGGCTTTAGGCTCATGACACTGTCACTTGATTTTAATGGCATACGTCCAGCTGGATAAACATCAGAACAATACAGATGCTCAATTGTAACAAGCCTTCTGTATGCTGAGCTCTCAGTTGTGTTACACCCTGACAGTCTTATTCCAAATACTAGGCTACAGGCAACATCCTTTGCCAAAATATGACTCACAAAAGTTTTTAATCTTCAGACTAAAACCATTGCATTGTGTATGCTAAGTTTACGAACCAATTATAGCTGTATGACTGTACATAAATGGAAAACTATGATCTATGTTCCTATGATCTTGTGGTTGCTATATTCTGGGACGTGTCAGCCTTAACTGTGCAGTGTTGCAGTCCTAACTCTGTTAAAGTTTTTTAAATTGCTGTGTTTCTTCCTTCTGCATTATCAGTTGCAGATAGCTTCCAGTCAAAGCTCAACAAGAGATGCTGACGTTAGAACCCGTAAATATGATATACAATAGATACGGTGCTGTGGCTGCTCTTATATATTAAGCTCATGTGACTACTACCATAAATAAAACCAAGCATTTGTTTAATAGGCTTTTAGCTTCCTTGAATTTGCAGCATTATTCAAGGATTATGCAATCCAAAATACATATTTAATGTAAAAGCATCAGATGAAATTTAGAATACTGTATGCTTAAAAAGCAAATATGTCACAGGAAAAGTAGAGACTAAAATACTGTTGTTAATTGCTATTATTACATCTACAACAGCATTTCTATAGTTTTGCTTATATGACTTCAGTTATACCCCCAAAATAAAGTAACAATGTTATTTTTAAGTATCTGCATCTACATTTCTGTGTTCCTGAAATTTTGCTACTCCCTAACGTTAAATTGAAAACTCTATTGTTTGGGGTTTTTTTTTAATACTCTCTTTGTATCAAGGACACAATCGATAGTCTGGGTTGAGATCCCTTGAAAAAACAAATATGCTCTATATAGCCTCCATATACAGAATTCTGCTGGATACATTTACAATGCATGTCCTATACTAGGAGGATTTTATCTACCATCACGGCCACACAGCTGCACATACAAAAGTGAGGAAAAGAGGGATTGCACACGGCAGATTTTCCTAGACTAACAGTGCCAGCAAAGGGATAGGAAAATGCAAGGAGAAAGAGCTACCCGACTCTCAGAAGAGGCGACTGATGTAAGTGGGAGTTGACTTTGTATGGGTATCTATTCTGTGGATAAAAAGTCTGCATCTCAGGTTCTGTTAAATTTGGTTTCTTCCCAACTGTTAATATTCTTATTATTGGAGACGTGTCCAAGGAACGTGTGAGATGCAATCACTAAGGTTCATTAAATACATAATTAATTCCTACATGTATTAATTTACAAATCTAACCTCTTGGTTAAATCTGTTTGTATGACCCTTGGATCCAATGCATTCCAGTGTACTAGGTTTTCACAATGATCCGTCTCCTGGAGTATCTTGATTTACCCAGAAATCTAAGCTTCAGGGTGATTCTTTTTTCTAGCCCTCAAAATTACGGGGAAAGCCTTGAAAAACAAAAGATGAAGAAGAACATCTCAACAGCTTTTCACACCTAAGCTGGTTGTATGATGTTTTGATATCTGACTCATGTTTTTGAGTAGCAGCTGGAGTAGCAAACTTTAAAGGGAAGGTTATTGCCATGTTTCTTGCAGTGAATGCTACTTTCAGTTATCAGAAATTATGATCTTGAGCCTCTTTTTCAGTGGAAAAAAAATGCTGTTCTGGCTGAGGCTGAAGATGTGTATGTTCTTTCTATGTTTGGTTTATAGTTTGTTTTTTTACTCCTTTGCTTCTTTGCTGTTGGAGATGGATGCAATGGCCCACAGGCTTCAGAGATTTAGCTTGCTCAAGGGCTAATATTAACTGTTTCTTGTGCCACTGTGAATGAGAAGACACACATAGGTAGTTGTAATAAGATATCAGATAGGCTTTTCTGTTAGTTGGGGGTTTCTCAGCCTGTAAGATAAGTATCTCACTTGGTAAGATATGCTCATGTTAAGAACGAGGGGGAGAGAGACAAACCAGCTTCTGGAAATGGGAACAGTGTGGCCCAGCACTTGGTCTCCCCGGTGAGAAAGCCTGAATGATAGGATCCATTTAATAGATAGCTACCGGATAAAGCAACCTAGGAACCAAGAAACATTGAGATAGTGCAGCTGGGGTACCATGATTAGTGAAGACGTGCACCAAAGTGTATGAAACAGAGCGCTAAGTATTTCTTATTTCTGAGTGAGTCAAACCTTAGGTACATTTGTGATGCGAATTGTAACTGCCTTCGCTTCTGGCCATGTGCCCATAAGTCAAGGCAAAACATTTATGTGTAGGCGAAAATTTTATGTGTAGGATGGTCTAGTACAACAAAATTGTACTAGACTCCTATATCTTCTGGATGATAAAATTTAATCAAAACATAGATTGTTCTTGAAGGAACATGGCTTGCAAGGGGATAAACTCTGTACGAAGAATTCATATAACAAATATTGAAGTGACAGTAGACAGCATCATTAGGTACCAAGGGCAGAGAAACATGACAAATCTGTAAGAAGCTACAGCCTCGTACCCGGAGGGAGCGGATGGCAAGGTGCTATGCACTGACTGGTCTAGCCATCTAATTAGAGTTGTGTCAGTGGAGATGGGTTCAAGTAAGTGGTCCAATTTGCAGTGAAATTGTCAATTACAGTGTCAAGATTAAACTAGTAGTTTAATATCCTTGCAGCATCATTGGTCAGGCACAAAGCTAGTGAGGATACTATAAACTTACAAAGTAGGCAAATGGGTCTTTGAGAATGATAGATTTAATGTGGCAGATAAATCAGAGCTGTAGAGTGGTCAGTGTGGTGACTTCAACTGTTCACTCAAATGTGGCAGTATCTCATGTATGAATAAGCTTTGTTATATAGCTGTACTTAAGGAATAAAAATCAAAATGCTCATGTAAAAGTTCATCATGAATATCTGAAAAATAATAATATTTTAGCTATATGCCTTACTACAGTGATTTCTTTTTTCAAATGTATATTTACTAGAGCTGGTTGAAAAATATAATTATGTGTTCCAGTGGGCATCTGAATGTTTCATATTGTTACGGCTAGGAATAAATGGCCAAAATGTCTTTCAGAGACAATGCAAGTCTCAAAGGTATCCGAGATACTGCAAATCTCAAAGACTTTCTTATTCTATAGCATCCTCCAAACTGGTACGAGAGTAGGCAAAAATGTTTTATGAATTTGAAAGTGGGTAGTGCTGTATTAATGCTACTTATGATGATTGGATGATATACATATATATTGTTTTGCACATTCATATGAAGTACATCAAAATGATGGTAAAGAAACTTAGAAAACAAGAACACAGAGACAATGCAATAGGACTACCACACTTAGTGAAGGCATATAGATATGTAGAAAACATGATGGTTTATGTGAAATGCTTAATGAATTTTGGCATTATAAAAATGAAATATAAATGCCCAAATGAGTTATTTTGACCTTTTTATTAAAAACAATGGTGACTGGTGATGTGAACACGCTTTCACTTTAATGAACCTGTGTTTTCTAAAACAAAGTGGCTTTCACCACTTTTTCAATTCTATTGTAGACTTACTAGAAATGCTGTTATTCATTGGGAGCTTTCTGCTTCCTCCTGACTCAAAGTGGTTCGACTCAGTTTTGTGTTAGGTGTATGTAGGAGCAGTGCTCCTCTATTTTCCTCACTAGGTGCATCCGGATAACTCACTGGCTTTCATCTTGCAGCTCAGACAATCTGACCGCAGAATACTTGCGTAATTACCCGATACCGTCAGCTTTGCCATCTTAACTGGATGACACAGAGCTCTCCTTAACCAAAAGATCTTCAGCCTCCTACAGTGTGGACCATGGAAAGAAAGATTAAAGGTATTTTTGAGTTCTTCTCGGAGAGGGTAAGATAAATATATTTTATTGGTTCTTCCGCATTGAGGTTTTGTTGTTGTGAGGTCTACCCATCAGCTTGGCAAGGTTAAGAGGAAAGGCTCTCCCTTAAAAAGTGGACAGCAAGGAAAAACTTTTCTCAGCTAAAAGTGAAAATTTGACTGAAACAAGCAAGAATGTATGGAATTTGCATGACTGCATGGGATATGTAAGCCGTTTGCCAGAAATGGAAGATGGAAGAAAAGAGCAAAGACGACAACTACTGTTCCTTTCTGGTACTTGTTACTACCTCACTGTAGGTAACCAACACATGCATCTATTTCTAACAGAAACTTGTAGGTGACACACCTTCTAGGCAAGTGGCAATTGTTTGGGTTTTTTCTGTTTTTGTTTTTGTTTTAATTAGAGATAACTTTAAATTGATGAAAACAGCCATGCAAAGATGAAAAACAATCTTTGGGAAAGAGAGCACTTTGTTCTATAACACAGTCAGCTCATTCTCCCAGAATAGGTCTTACCTAGTGTTGTAGTGTAACCCCAGCCAGCAACTAAGCCCCACACAGCCACTTGCTCACTCCCCCCCAGTGGGGTGGAGGAGAGAATCAGAAGAGTAAAAGTGAGAAAACTTGTGGGTTGAGTTAAAGACAGTTTAATAGGTAAAGCAAAAGCCGTGCACACACAAGCAAAGCAAAACAGGGAGTTCATTCAACACTTCCCATTGGCAGGCAGGTGTTCAGCCATCTCCAGGAAAGCAGGGTTCCATCACATGTAATGGTTACTTGGGAAGACGAAATGCCATCACTCCAAACGTCGTCCCCCTTCTTTCTTTTTCCCTCAGCTTTATGTGCTGAGCATGACGTCATATGGTATGGAACAGCCCTTTGGTCAGTTGGGGTCCGCTGTCCCAGCCGTGTCCCCTCCCAGCTTCTTGTGCACCCCCAGCCTCCTCGCTGGTGGGGTGGGGTGAGAGGCAGAAAAGGCCTTGACTCGGTGTAAGCCCTGCTCAGCAGTAGTGAAAACATCCCTGTGTTATCAACACTGTTTCTAGCACAAATCCAAAACATAGCCCCATGCTAGCTACTATGAAGAAAATTAGCTCTATCCCAGCCAAAACCAGCACACCTAGCAAACAGCAAACTCCTGGAAGATCATGTTCCTTATACAAGTAATGTAGTCTTAACATTTTTCATGGCTGTGGTGTCATGATTAGCATTAGAAATAACAGAGCAGAAGTGAGAAGGAACTCAAACAACACACAGAGAAGTACATGTGTATAGTGGTGTCTGTTCAGGCAAGAGGAAGCAGGTTATCTAAGCCAGAATAAAACAACCTTGAAAAAAATTACCTAAACCCATTTAATTCACCAAGCAGAAACAAGGAAATATCAGAGCACAGTCCTCCTGCATCTGACAGACCTGGCAATTATGAGAAAGGGCAGCATGTGAGAAAGGACAGCATGCAAAAACTCCCCTTAGTAAAAATTCACTGCACCCATTACTAACATAACAGAAATAGGAAGTGGCTTTCTACATCTTTCCCTTAAGTCAGACTACTCTTGGGCTGGTCTTTCTGATTTAGTTCAGCATACCACAGACTGACCTACTTCAGAACAAGTGGGTCATGGTACAACTTCAAATCAGGAAGCCTAAAACCAACTCTTCTCTGCAAGCGAGAGTGTGTTTGAGTCAGAAACACTTTCTTCTTGTTATCCTTCTTAGGACTTTGGCTCAAGAAAAGAGAGATTTTGAGAACCTGTGATGGCAGGAAGAGCTCTTCATTGTAACTGTATTAATTTTGCTTCATACTGTCCAACACAGTTGTCCCCAGCACTCCAGATAAGTGTATATTGCAGCCTTTCAAAGGCTTTTGAATATTGACTGATAGTGAGGTTTATAGTATCTTAACTTTCTGCCTTTCCTGCAAACTGATGATATAAGCAAAAATGCACAGGGAGCAACCGATGTATAAGTTATCTTTCCAGGCTGATAACATCCATACTTTTGATCTCTGTACATAAAAGCTGATTATCTCATCCAGAGAGAAAAATTGCTGCAGACCCTGGATTAATGTCTCAGCATTTGATTTTTCTTTCCAGTGTAGATATTTTCGAACTCTCTATGGTGTGTATGCAGATTCTTTGAAATGGGCCTTTCATGGCTTAGAGGCTACGTGCACTCTTTGAATGCTAAAAAATATTAGGGCAACAATTTTGCCCCAGCAGTCTAAAAATTTTCCTTCTGAAAGTATACACTAGTTGCCCATTTCCCTGAACTTGAAAAGAGTTGCATTTCTGCTTAACAGTCAAGGTTTGGTGGTATGGACTTCAGGTCAGTCTGCCCTATCATCAGAGTCCCTGCTTGACTAGTCCTCAAGTAATTAGCTGTGTTTAAGTCCTTCCCTTCACTCCCTCACTACAGTTTTTACCTTTGCTGCCTAAAGTCTCCTTAGGTAATCCTGCCTGTGCTACAACTCTGGTTCTGTTTTGCCAGAAAGACATGCCGTTAGTTACTATATATTTATTTTGCAGACAGGCCTGTCCTGGGTGGCACTCTGGGAAAAACTTCATCTCAGCATAGTGTTAGCTCTTTGTCCCCCACGCAAGTGGTCGGCAATTTTTTTCTAGTTACCATATAGGAACAGAGCAAACAAGGCCATTATGCCAGTGCCTCTTTGGGACAGTCTGGATAGCAGGCACAGAGCTAAGAGGGATTGATTTGTCATGACTCCACTGCTCCTAAATCTTCTGCTTGCAGAAGCAAGGAAAGGAGGTGAGAGCTGAGGCCTGATTTGACTTACCATCTTTCAGTGTCATTATTGCCTTTTAATACCAGGTGGTGACAAGCTGTGAGGCGTGCATGTTCAGATGGGAGATTTACAGCAAGAAAGTGAGGAGAGAATGTGCTGAACCACCAGGTACTGATGTGATGGAGCTCTGCAGCCTTTCCACTTCCTTCTTCCCTGTTTAGTCTGGGGCTGCATTTTCTCTTTCTGTGTCTCATGAAAAGAAAACAAAAAAAAAAAGCTTGTTGGCATATGATGTTCAAAACCTTGAAAAAAATGATTGCTCAGGAATATCACAATAATTGATTCAATGATGCAAATACAATGCGGAAGTGCAGAATTGAAGAGATGCTTACTGCATAAGTTATAGTTGAACTGCAGATACTCTTCATTTATGCCATAGAGAAGCATCAAGCCTTTATATTTGACTAAAAAAATCAAATGTAGCACCTCCAGTTTGTGTTAAGTAATACTGAAGGCACCAGAAAGGCTTCACGAATGTGTGTTTAAGAAGGACAAAGGTGTTAATTTAGGAAGCAGTGCTCATGCCATGTTCGTTGTTCATATCACTTAAGTTAAAAGAACAGAATTATAATCTGGGTGGATACATATCATGCTAAACAAATACAAAAACCTGTTAAGAAACTGGAGACCGCCAAGACTCGGGGTTGTTCAAAAAGTTATTTTTGAATAGGGTTGGTCCAAGTAAGTCAATTCAGTTGGAAAGCTGTTTGGAGTATTTGTTTTCAGTAAAAATATTTATCTGCCTCAAGACTTTCCACATACAAATAAGACAAAAGATTCAAACACAAATGGGAATGAAAAACCCAGAGACCACTTTGTCCCCTAGTCACGTCCCAAAGTAAATCTGGAATTGGCCATTGTATTTTACTTCCTGGCTTTCAAAAACCAAAGGACTGTCTTCAAAGTGAAGCTGTAGGGAGCCATATGGGTGTTTTTGGAAAAGTCACGTATTGTTATTCTGTTGACCCGTTGTCAACAATGTGGGCTAAGAGGAGATTTGCTAAGTGAAAATGTGTTCACTGCTTCCCCCTATTGATGCTGTACAGTCATTTCTGCATAAAGCTTGACTCAAAATTTTTAGTTCTATTAATACATTATCTTTTAATGACTCCATGTTGGTTACCTCTTTTCAAATATATTTTTTCTTCTGTGTTTGATGAAACAGTATTTTCACACTCATGTATCTGTCCCGAGTTTCTCTTTAAAATAATTAAGCTGATTAGTTTTTTTCCAATTTTTTTTTTAATCTTTGCCTGCTTTCCTTAGTAATTAACTGACTATATGCTTTTCAAATAGCTTTCATATATTTGTTATGCCGTTACTTGTGGCTCTTTAGCACTCCAAATTGTATCCATTTTTAGTGCACTCTAGCCTTTGAAGATCTGGTACTTTCCTTTCTATGGCATAGATTAGAAGCCCTTGCAGCTCTGTACGAATTATATACTGTGAGCAGTTCTAGCTGATGGCATTCAGGGTAGCCAAGATGAGCTGACTGTGAAAGCTGCAGAAAAGCCTTGCAATACTAGGTGAAAGGACAATAAAAGGTAGATAAAATTCAGCGGGGATAATTACAAATCTATGCATCTGGGAGAGAGCAAACTTGTTTGTATAAATAGTGATGGGATTCTAGCTGGCTATTACTACTCTGGTTAACATCTTGCCAATATAATGGATAGTTCTGCTGAAATAAAATAACAGCAAAAAGCCCTGAACATTATGAATTCATAGAAAATAATTGAGAGCAGGAAACACAATAGTGCCGTGCTCACATACAACCTCACAGCGAACTGTTCCCTCACGGGAGGCCTCGGTGGCGCAGCCAGGGTGGGACGAGGGCACGGCTGCGCCGCCGAGGCGTGGGGCTGCGCAGCCCTGTTCTCGT